CCCTGCGATGTCAGTGGCCTCCCGGACTTCTATATGCATTTCCTCTACTCCCTGTAATATCCAGGTTGATCCAGAAGTTATTGGAGGAACGAGCGGAATTGATATTGGTCTCCCCTTACTGGCCCAGGCGAACATGGTTCGCGGACTTACAGGACCTGTCAAGAGAACAACCTTGGAAGATTCCACTGTTGAGGGTTTCCCTCTCGCAAGGGCCGGTACTTCATCCGGACCCACAATGGCTCAGCCTAGCCATATGGAGGTTGAGCGGAGCCGTTTAAGGACCCAACAGATTTCAGAGGATGTCATTGCCACCATACAAGCATCCAGGCGGTCCTCAACAAATCGTATATACGAGGCCACATGGTCTGCTTTCTGTCGCTGGTGCCGGGGGTCTAAGATCGACCAAACCGCCCCATCAATAGGACAATTATTGGACTTTTTACAGGAGGGGTTGACCAAGGACCTATCTCCAAATACTTTACGCAGACAGGTGGCAGGCTTAGCCTCGGTGATATCCTGGGGTGACCTTCGTTCCATAGCGCACCATCCACATGTCCGCAGCTTTCTTAAGGGTGCTGCAAACTTATGACCTCCTGTAATTCACCGCTATCCCACTTGGGAGCTCAACAAGGTGTTAACCGCACTTACAACTGGCCCGTTCGAGCCTTTAAGAACCGCTAGTCTCAAATTCCTGACATATAAGGTGGTCTTCTTAATTGCAATCACATCAGCAAGGAGGATTTCCGAATTGACAGCATTGTCGATGAGAAAGGACCTGTGCGTGTTTCATGCAGAGTGGTTCTCAGATTGGATCCATCGTTCACCCCTAAAGTAAATTCAGTCTTCCACAGAGTGCAGGAATTCGTGCTTCCAATTTTTTGTCAGAAACCATCTCATAGACTGGAGCATCAATGGCATCGACTTGACGTTTGAAGGGCGTTAAACATCTATCTAGACCGCACGGCGGCATTTCAAAAATCTGAGGCTCTGTTCCTATCCTTCAACCCATCCACTTTAGGACACAAGGTGTCGTCGACGACCATTGGTAGATGGTTGAGAGCCACCATAGCTAAAAGTTATGAATGCCAGTCCATCTCAGTTCCTAAGGGCATTACAGCCCACTCAACAAGGAGTGCAGCAATATCAGCAGCATGGGTCACACGGGCTTCCATAGACGAAATTTGCAGAGCGGCAACTTGGGATTCACCATCACCCTTTGTCAGAAATTATAAAATTGATGTCTATGCCTCAGTGGACGCTTCATTTGGCAGAAGAGTCCTGCAGAGGGTACACAGAGTTTACGAGTGGATTTCATTCCAGATGGAGTCCCTCCCTAAGGACAGGCCAAGCTTTGGTATGTCCCACTTCTGGATGCTCTGAACAGCTCATGGGAGAAAGGGCGTTGGTACTTACCTGATATGCCCGTTCTCTGTGAGCTGTGAAGAGCATCCAGCCCCACCCATTTCTTTCCGTCTGGTGGGGTTCCATTCCGGTCAGGGATCTAGATTAGGTGATGAGTTCCGGACTTTGGCACTCAGTCTTCACAAAACTGGGGGACGCTGGGGAGGTGTCCCGTGGAGGAGGAGGAGCGTCCCGGAGTTTTAAGCCCAGCCTTTCCAGAAGAGACTGAAGCACCTCCCACTTCTGGATGCTCTTCACAGCTTACAGAGAACGGGCGTATCAGGTAAGTACCAACACCCTTTTCATGTCATGCATGAGTGTTTATTCAAGAATTTCATGAAGACACATACCAGAAACTAGCAAAGAATAGGGATAAAAGAATGGTTCTCATTATAGGTAGATGTAAATGTAGAGTTCCCTGAGGATCTAGATTGGAACCTGTGCTTTTTAATTTGTTCAAAAATTATCAGGACTTAGGAAGGAGCTGGGGGATGGTTAGGTTTATGGAGGGGGAGTAGAATAAAAAAGGCACATACATGCATGAATCATTTAACCAGATTAATAATAAAGCTTTTACAGAGTTTATGTATTCAACTACTAGGTCTTTAATTGACTTAATTAAGTAAACACATTGCCAGAGGGATCAAATTGCTGGAGCAATTTCCACATGAGAGAAAACCTTTGAGGTTTAGCAAGGAAGACAAGATTAGGGCCAGAGGCACATCTGAAATGTTCAGAGGATTTGGACACTCTGAAAATAGCTGCCATCATAGGCATAAAATACCCATTTGCCAGAACACAAAGTAACTCCTGGAATGTTTTTTTACCATTCCAGAGGGGTCCAAATGACTAAAGCAGGTATTTGCAAATGCTGCCTTTCTATTAATTATTTTGAATTAAGGTAAACTTGGTAAAGAGGAGCAGGGAGCCTGGTGGCCACCACAAAGATGTCTGGGGAGGCAGATTGATGCTTGCAGATTTGACCTTCCCTGTCTCAGAAGCCAGTGTAAGGTTTAAAAAAATGAGTTATGAAACTTCACTGAATGAACCAGAAGATTGGGAGATACTGAACAGATTAGAAAGTTCTTATTTGTTCATCAAGTTGTTAAAAATTCTATACACAAGACAGCTCTGAGGTTTCCAACAGATTTTTGATCTGATCTTGCATGGCTTCACAAAGTTTCTGATTTTGAGACCAATACTATTTCTAGCCTGAATTAATTGCTGTTAGAAATTATAGGAGCCAGTGATGAAGAGCTAATAGTCAATTTCTTACTTTGGGACAACAATTCAATAGACACTCCACCAAGGTTAAAGATTGACTGTATATGAATTGCATCAAGACTATATCACGCTGGTAGGGGAGAAAGGGTTATCAGATGTAAAAAAAAAAAAAAAAGCAAATATCCTTAGGATTATGTTCATTTGATGGGATGGGATGAAGCATTTTGTAAATGCTTTGGCATCCTTATTGTGATTAATAACAGTGATATATTTGTTCTTCCTAATGGAGGAGTCTGGTGTGATGTCCATACAGTCATTTATTGCTTTTACACTCAGTTTATTCTGAATCCTTGGCTGCTAAATTCATGTTATTGGCTTATAAATTTTTCACATCCTTAGTGGCTGTAATGGATGGCCTTGTTTAAGATATTGCAGGAGCCGAGTCTTCCAAAACTTTTATTGAATAGACGAATTCTTGCACCAAGGAGTAAGATGAGATCATGACAAAGAAGCCTTGCCAACAAAGGGAAAAAGAACTAAGGATGTTAGTTGAATCCATGACAACTTGCAAACTTTTTAAAAACCTGAAAATACTATGTCATTTTGCAGTAAGAGGCCCTTAATTTTACAGTGATGAGTAAATAACTGTTCTTATGTACATACACAAAGAGAAAAAAATGGAAATTGTTTTTTTTTCAGGCTTTGTCTCCTTTATATTTTAAACTTGGGGAGCCTGTTCATCCCTCTGTAGCACAGGGGCTACAGAGAACCAAAATAGAGCTAAACTTAAGTACAGTTGGATTCACCACCAGCATTGTCAGAGAATCCAAAACTATTTGGAAAGGTTCAAATCAAAATATGGCTTAGCGGGAGGATTAATTTGAAGGCCAGGAAGTGGCAAACTGGATTGTGATGAAGCATCAGGAATTGGGCAAGTAGGAACTCTGCTAACCTTGCTCTGTGTCAAAAACTTATTGCCTGCAGTATGATTTTCAGAACCAAACTATTCTTATAGTTTCCAGATTTTTTAATCAATAGGTTAGAAGCCTGTCTCCCCCTATGACTAAATCATTGAGAGAAATGTTGGCAATTGCTTCTTCCCTCCTTCATTTTTTGATCTAACAGTATTACCACCACTCCATGTTAAAAATCTGGAATCACAAGGCATGTTGAGGGCCTGGGTGTCTTATCAATTCACATTTTAAAATGCTTTTGAACATAACATTTAACATGGTACCGAGCTAATCAGATTGCAAACTGTTGTCTGTAAGAGATGTGAATAAAACACAGATTTTTTTTAAAAAAAAAAACCTGGTCTGTAACATGCTGTAAGATAAAGCAAGGTAAAAATCCTAAACTAAGAGGAAAGAATGAGAAAAGAGATTGAAAAGAGATTATTATTGGTGGTTATCCCCAGGGGTGGGATCCAAATTTTTTAACAACCGGTTCTGTGGGCATGGCTTAGTTGGTGGGTGTGGCTTGGTGGTCAAGTGACTGGATGGGCATGGCTTGGTGGTCATGTGACTGGCTGGGCGTGGCCAACTCAACATCACTCACATCGAGGCACGCATCTCCTCGCCTGGCCTCTCATGACTGTGGGGATGCTGCAACAGTCGTAAGTGTGAAAAATGGTCATAAGTCACTTTTTTCAGTGCCATTGTAACTTTAAATGATCACTCCACACAAAAAGTACCAACAAAGGAGGGGAAAAAAGCTCCAGAGAAGTTCCTGAGACAGAAAGTCTAGTCCTGCCAAGAATGTAATAAGGGTTAATGGAGAGGCAGTTTCTGTAAGCAACACCAGAATGTTTCCTTCCTTCCTTCCTTCCTTAAAGGATTAGGCCGGTAATTTCTTCTAACAACCGGTTCTCTGAACTGCTTAGAATGTTAACAACCGGTTCTAGCAAATAGGTGCGATCTGGTAGAATCCCACCCCTGGTTATCCCATTTGTTAAATTTATATCCCACTTTTATATAAACGAAGTATTGTAAACAAATGCATCTCCTCTTTTTTCTCACAAGCACTTCCTTTAAAGTAATTTCCTTTTCCTTTACTTTCCTCCTGTATCTTTGAAGATATTTTGATTAATTTATTTATGTGCATTAATAATAGACCAGGGAATATATTTTATTGACTGGTGGCTTGGTTTTTCACTAACAGGTTCAGAGACCATTCCCAATTATCCCAGCAGTGTGATGGATGCCACTCGAGATGCTGGTCTCAAGCAAGCTGCACCAGCAAGGACAGAGAAGCCAGCTGCCGATTTTGCCTACGTTGGGATTGATGCCATCCTCGAACAGATGCGAAGAAAAGCCATGAAACAAGGCTTTGAGTTCAACATCATGGTTGTTGGTAAGTCTCCTTACCTTGGTGTGTCTGGGTAGAGACTACCTTAGTCATGCTAGCTAAGTTTCTTGACACTGGAGGGTACCAAAAAGTTTGTACTTTGATTTCCTTCCACCATTCTATTTTAATCTGTCCACTCCTGATGGGTGTAAAATTTCTATGAACAACAGTAACTAGCTTTTGTGAATTCTTAAGGTAATGCAACTTCATAAATTATTCTGTAGATTACTAAAATAGATGTTTTATACTCTGAATGATTATGTGTTTTCTCTAATAAGCCTCTTTGTCCTGACTGGAGCATCAAACATCAAAGAACATGTGGTCTTTAATCAGCCATTTCAACTTTGATAAGCAGCTATGCTGCCTGGCATTCTGTGATTGAATTTCTTCCATGAAAAAAACAAAACAAAATCCTGCTTGTCTGTGCCATTCTTGAAAGTTATTTGAAGGTGCTATATAATTCTCCTTTAAAAGAAAAAAAAATCCCTCTGTAATCTCTTGAAAGTTACAGAGGTTGTTTAAAAAAACTGCTTATGAGCATTTCTTACCTAAACAATGACCCACTTCCTTTAGTCCCTTCTTACCCAGTCAGAGTGGATAGTTAATTTGAAGTTTGATCTTATTAGATGCAAGTCTGTTGACCCAACATCATAACTCTCACTTCATTCTTGCCCCTCTGTTCTAAACCCCACACTTTTTGTTATTTTTGTTCATGCTTCATCTCCTTCAACATTAAGGGTGTGTTTAAAGAACCTGAATTTTAAAATCTTGCAAAATCTAGCAAGTCTAGCACTTGATACTACATCAGCTTGTGATTCTTGAAGATTGCATGGTACACTCCTTGCAGAAGTTGATTTCCACCCCCTGGTTAAGTTGTGGTTTGCAGCTAGTTCTTTCTCTGATGCTTTGATAATAGGGTAAAACATGTTTCTTAAGGGCGATAGCAAAGACTAATGACAGAAAAAGTCTGAAAGATAAAAGGGTTTGCCTGAAAAGACAAATAAAGGCATCCTTCAATTTATGCATTTACTCAATAGTTAGACTTCACATTGTAGGAAGAGTGAGTGTTGCTGAAGAAGAATCTGCTGATCACTGACTGTTCTGGCCAGCTAAGTATAACATCACCCCCATTTGTGTATGTTACTTCAGGGAAACTATTTTCCTTCCATGGGAACAAAGAACTTTTTTTACTTTTGGAGAGGGAGAGGCAGTGTGTCGTTTCTACATTCACTGCTTTGAACTTTGAATTAAGGACTGATACAGGAACAAATAAAAAGAGTCCTTGCTCCATCAGAAACAGTAAAATATCTACATTCTTGACTGTGAGTGGTTGCCTGTGAGCCAAAGTGAACCAGTCTGGTGAAGGGGCTGGCCTAGAAACCAGGTGATTGTGAATTATAGTCCTGCCTTAGGCATAAAAGCCAGCTAGGTACCTTTAAATCAGTCCCTCTCAGCCTAACCCACCTCACAGGGTCATTGCTGTGTGGAAAATAGGAAGCAGGAAAATGAAGCATGTTTGCCAACTTGAGTTATAGATTTTACAAAAGGGGGATGATAATCTAATAATTTCCCTAAGCAGTTCTATTTTGTTTAGAAAATAGGTTTTTTCTTGTTAAAAAACGTTCTTCTAAAGTGACATTGATTGTTACAGTGACATTGTTCATCATGATTAAAAAGACAACAGGAATATTGTATGGCCAGTTTAATGGGACAACCTCATTAGTTTTTATTTTGGTAGATAGATTATTTGTGGCTGGCCATACCAGGTCTTTGGGGGGAATGAAATTATCAAGCGAAAAAGAAATGAGAGATCGAACATGGAATGGTGGTTAAAACTTCCCAATGATCTAGGGATACAGAGTGAAAGTACTATGATGAACCATGACTATTATAGGTGAAAATGTTTTTGTGAAAACAGGCCAAGGCAGGGAACAAAGATGAGCTGCAACTTCTGTTACAAAATAATTACATTTGCTTTTTGGGGAAACAGAAGGGATTGTTTCATTTCCAAACCTATAAATCAGTCCTGCTTTGCCTGATTGCCTTTTGGTAATTCTTGTTCACCCTGGCTTATCAGTGAAATGGTTTATTTCAAGTCTGGTTTAAAACTTGAAGGTAATTAAAAATTCCTGCTTTGTTCCCTCAATCATTTGTAGCCCAATGGTTCAGTGCCATCTTTCTAAGATTCTCTAAAAAAAGTTGTGAATTTTTTTCCATTTATTTCTTCTTTTTCTAGGATTTTATAGCGAACTGGGTGTATATACTATTCAGCAAATATTTAGCTCCAGATGGTTAGCAGATTAACAAATGTAGACAGTTGACATTTATTTGAGGATGGTTAAAACAGCAGTTTTGATGTACACATGAACTGAATGCTTGACTGCTAAAAATACTTTGTTTCATTTCCTTGAAGGGGTTGGTACACAGTTTTTAATAAAATCTCAAAAAGTCCTGGCTCAAGCAGACTCAATATGCTTAGGAAGTGAAGCATTCAGTGTAGAATTTTTCTATCTTTATTTGTAGCTGTTTGGAAGGCAGTGCCAGAAATATAGCCATATATCTGGTTTCTTTGACACCCATAAACTTTTCATTTCTCTTCTTTTTAATATTCCTGGGAAGATTGGATTCATTTCTGTGTCTGCTTGTTTTTATGGATGAACAAAATTGTGTGCAAAATTAAAACTGCACAATTCTTATACCAGCATTTTTTCCATTTCATAGCCTCACTGTTTATACTACATAGTTTTATACATGTACAGTGAATTAGATCAGGCTGTAGAATTAGGACAGCTTTTCTGTGGCTGTCCCCCCTCCGACATTCAGAGGGGCTCCATCCTATTAGCCCTTCAGAAGGCTATGAAAACTTGGCACTTCACTCAGGCTTTGGAGAGAGCACAAGTGAACCAGTGATGGGATTCAAAAAAAATTTATTACTGGTTCTGTGGGCATGGCTGGATGGGCATGGCAGGGGAAGGTTACTGCAAAACCTCCATTCCCTCCCCACTCCTAGGGGAAGGTTCCTGAAAAATCCCATTCCCTCCCTACCCCACTAACCTGCTTTCCAGCTCCGTTGTCCTGTGCAGGGCAACAAAAGAAGACCCAGCTGACCAGCTGGGACTCAGAAGGCAGAGAATAGATGGGTGCAGGGCCAGTCAGAGGTGGTATTTGCCAGTTCTCCGAACTACTCAAAATTTCCGCTACCAGTTCTCCAGAACTGGTCAGAACCTGCTGAATACCACCTCTGAAGTGAACGCAGCAAATGTAAGATTATGGGGAGGTTATGTGATATTGTGGGTGGTATATATGGGATACGTGGTATTGTTGTGAGGTCACTTTATAATATTCTGATTTTATTTAATGTTAGTGTTGAGCTGTGGAAATTATCTTGCATAATATAAGACAGCATGTAAGTTTCTAAATAAATAAATATAAACATAACTATAAGTCTAGGAGGAAGGTTGGAATTAAATTGAGTTAAAGTATGAAGTTGTATTAGTCCTCAGTTGGCCTTGTGTTATCTCTGCAAAAGAATTAAGAGTTTTGCTGGCCCTTTAAAGGTAACTGTTTGGTTATAGCAGTTTATGCTTCGTGACAGGAACAAATACTGTGTATTACAGTTTTGGAAACATGTGATTTATTGGCTACCCTTTGTAACTAAGCAAGATGAAAAATAAACTTCTTTGACTAAATATCCAATCTACTATTCCTAGCAGGGACTTCATTTATTTTATATCCTTTCTGTGACATGCTTTCACACAAGATTATTTATGTATATATTTAATCCATTTATGTAGCCATCCATTTTCTAACCAATTCTGGGTGGCTCCCAATCGAACATTAAAACAACATACAGACCTTGGGGTCATGTCTTATAAGCACAGGGCCTCTTGGGTAGCTTCAGTGTTTTCATTTGCTTATGGTCTTATTATCTTCCTTATCTCCCATTTGGTATTCTGTCTGCTGTGACTGAGGCTGTTCTCACCTTTCTGAATTCTCTTCATTCCCCACCCACTTTTCATAGTAAAATAAAACTTAAAGTATACATATTTTATGTGATTAATTGTGCAAAACCAGATATTTCTTTACTTTTGTAACCACATCCCCATTCCCTTGTATACTGGGGTTCAGTGCCCGTGCATTAATAACCTAACAATGAAAACAATAAAAGCAACTTTCTTCTACCTGGTGCTTTCCAAATCATTGCTTTTTTCCAACAAGGTGTGGTAGTACACACTCATAATGTTTTGTTTTGTTTTTTTAATTAGAAGAGAGAAGTAAAGGTTAGGAATAAGCATTTTAAAATACCTCTTGATTTTGATGTTAAAAGGACCTGGCAGTTCAGATTTTTTTATAAATCACACATGCAGATTACATTTCCTGTGTTCTGTGTAAGACTTAACCACTATGGCAATTCCCTTAAACACTTCTTATCTAAATAATGGCTCCTGTATTTTTTTCACTGACATTTTTTGATCTTTTAGCTTCTTTGAATTTTGGTTTAAGTTATGGGTCCAGAAGATGGTTCAATTCATTTAAAAGAATGCCTGGACTGTCAAACCCAGAATTAGCATTTTGGTCTAACACTTAGTTGTCATTTTCAGCTTATTAAAAACAGAATTAATGAATAATTTTCAGAAACATTAGCTGTGTTCTCTTGGTTTTTAAAAGCACAGGTTTACCATACAAGCAGAGTATCAATGAAAGGAGAACAATGTTTTTTGCATTCCTTTTTTTTAAGTAGAAGACAGCTTATTTTTCCATCACTCATGTAAGCCCGTTCTCTGAAAAATAAGGTATATTTGTTTGTCATCCATGCATATTATTTCCACTAATAACAAGCATAAGCAACAGAGATAGAAACCAACAAGCAAATTTTGATGCACTCCCCATGTATATGAACTCTCAACATTTCCCTTAAAAGCAAGGAATGACATGTCTTCAGAGCAACTTCATGAATACTGAGCATACACAGTATATACATGGACTACTGTGGCATTCTAAGTTGGAAAAGAAAAAATGAGAATTGGAGACAGGGTGGCACACAATTGACTGCTTGGAATTAAAGCAGTCAATGGAATTAAAAGCCAAGAATAAATTACAATTTTTTTTGTACAGTTCCTTGTAAAAATTCCATAGGTTATAAACTATCAATATTAGGAAAAATAATGTAATGCCTGTCAACCAATGCGGGGCACTGAAATGCAAATTTTGGAAGTGAAAAGGTGCTCATTTATGGAGAAGGTGGGATCCTGAATTGGAAGAAACTGAATGTGAACTTCATTTGAAATGCTGTTGTGATTTTTTTAGCTTATTGATTTGACTGGGAATTAAGCACAACCTACATAATTTAAGGCAAGCTGACATTACTTGTTGAACCAGGAAACCTATGGACTCCAAATGTTGATGAAGAGCTACTAAAAGCTCCAGTTAGCATGACCAATTCCAGTGTGGTTAAAAATGCCACTTTGAGCTTCTCGGATAACAGAAGGCATGCAGATGTAACTCAAACAGAAGCACTCTCCTTTTTTTAGTTATAAACTATGTACTTCTTTCTCCTTGAAGGTATCATAAAGAGATGAGAAGACTGAAATGATCTTCCTAACATAAGAAAACTTGGACAGAATATTGTTTGCTTTTTAGAAAATAGGATCATCCAAATTACAGAATTGAAAAGAAGCAAAGACCAGAAATTAAGCATGTATTATAAAAATTAGCTTCTCTTTTGCTTCTTAATTATCTTATTAATTATTAATTATTCTTTTATTTTTGCTTGTTTCATGCACGTAAAGCAAATTTAATAAAGAGCTGCTTGTAAGGTAATGTTTCATTCCTATGCCTTATATACAGTTAACATACAGTTTTCCTTTATGCTTCTTTTGTGGAAACATCCAACAGAACAAAATAAATGTCATAAAAATATAATTCAGTCAGAAATCAAACAATAGCAATCTTTATGTGTATCATCACATGTTTTCCAAGGAGAGGTTGGATGTGCCCAGACTAGCCATGCAGTGGCTTCAGTAATAAAATGTGGCTTTCTGAAATTTATTTCCTGCTATGTTTTAGGTCAAAGTGGCTTGGGAAAATCAACTTTAATCAATACCCTTTTCAAATCCAAGATCAGTCGCAAATCAGTGCAACCAAGTTCTGAAGAGCGGATTCCCAAGACAATTGAAATCAAGTCCATCACACATGGTGAGTGTTGACAAGAGATTGTTTGCCTGTCTTTTGTGGAAAGTTAGCACCAGGGAAAGAGGGTCTAGGGCAGGGGTGTCAAACTCAAGATCCACAGGCCAAATCCGGCCCGCGGGATGCTTAAACCTGGCACACGGGGCTGGCCAGGAAGTAGCAGAGGACCGGCCCACAGTTCCTCTGGCAGCCAAAATGGGGTGTGCCCCCTCATGGCCCATTTTGGCCAGCAAAGTGCAAGAAGCATCCGTCCCCAGCCCAGGGAGGAGAACTATAGTGCTGATCCAGCCCTCTTAAGAAATCCAGTTTGACACTCCTGGTCTAGGGAGTCACCTTTTGGTTGACTAGGATAAAATGCTTAAACTTCTTTATCAAGAACATCTTTGATACATACATACACCTAAAGAGGGATTGTCATGCCCTTGTTAGAGTCAGACTCTGAGGGAGAGGAGGAACAGCCGACAGGGAGTGGAGGTGTGGCTCCGGAGGTTGTGGAAGAGGCTGGGGAAGGGCATTGGCCAGCTGGGCAGTCAGAGGAGGAACCAGGCCCATTCTCACTTCATCCTAGGAAATGCAGGAAGGAATGGAGAAGGAAACAACTTGGCTTACGAGAGAGGAAGCAGCCATGATCCCCCTCATTGGTTGCAGCTGGGGAGAATAGTATATAAGAGAGACGGTTAAAACACAGTGTTGCTAGAAGCAAAGCATGTTTTATTTTGGGCTGAAGTTATCTTGGTTGGGGTCCTTCCAACAGACTGTGCCTTGTTATCTCCTTGAAGTTGGTAATTACTTATCCTGGTCAGTTGTGGAAATTCCTTCATTGTAGTTTGTTTTGGTTTTTTATTTTACCTCTACCTGCTCATTAAGTTTGGATTGTATTGCTTTCTTTTGAAGACTATTTTTGAACAAGTTTTATCTCCAACTGAGAATTATTGAACAGTGGGGCCAAGTTGGAGGCATTAAAGGACATTTATTTACTTTTTGGATTTTGTTACGTTTGTGTTATACTCTGGGTCATCACAGGGATTTCCCATATACTCATTGTGTTCATCCCAAAGTGATACGTTGCTATTTAATATCTTCACTTTCCATTTCAGATATTGAGGAAAAAGGTGTTCGTATGAAACTGACTGTCATTGACACTCCTGGATTTGGGGACCACATTAACAATGAGAATTGGTAAGGAACTTTCAGTGGAGAAATGCACCAGGACAAGGGGAACTTGGTACTTCAAAAACTATTCCTACAATGTGACCTACTCTGATTTTTTGTTTGTTTTTGACTGATCCTGACTGACTGACTGGTACAAAACCAGTTGTGACCAAATTTTCTTCCATCTCTGGGCTGGAACAAAAAGAGACTAACTTAATCAGGATAAGAATAAGGAAATTATTTTGAAGAGAATGAGGATAGAAATTTGCCAATATCGCAAAATTATTTTCAGTTGAAGTTAGTATTGTTGATTACTTCCCAAGAATATGTTTCACCTAGGGGGAGGAGAGAATGGAATGGAATTACTCTGCTTTAGATGATAAAAAGCAAAAATTATGCCAAAATTTATTGATTCTTCCAAAAGCTAGGAAATTTTCTAAACCAAACTGTATTTTATAGACATGGAGATTTGCAATTACTTTTACATCTTTTCTCATGAGGATTGGCTTACCAATTAAATTACTCAGAAAAGAACTACGATGGAATTCCTTCTATAATGCGTAGGAAAATGTGATGCCATAGTGCACTATTAGCAAAGGGCCACCTCCAGGGTTGATGTGAATTATATGAGTGGAAGAAAGGACTCTTGAGAATACATCTTACTATTTCCTTAGTATTTTGCAAGGAATCATCTGGACTAAGGAATAT